GTAAAGCTTGTACAGCATTTACATGTATTCATTAAGAATGCATTTACATAAAAATACATATTTGATATTGTTGAGTACTATTTCCAAAACCGTTAATTGGACTAGATTTTTTAAGGTGTCAAGCGATGAGAAAAATGCCAAGAAGAAAGTAATCTACTAGTAACAGATTTTAGGCACAGTTTCATCAAAGAGAGATCTTTTCTGGATATTTTCCAAGCAAGGACTAGGTGAATTGGGACGGAATCTGAATTAAAATGAAAGTAAGTAGAATTAGAAATTAACATTCACAAAAAGCTGAGCCAAGTTTAGAAGAAAGTCAAGTCTTACTTTATTGATAGATTGTATTAAATAGTGATATAAGACCAGCTCCTGTTTTTTAAGCGGTACTCCAGTTACCCATATGTGTTTGTGTAAGTTAATTTACAGTAAGTAATGCTTAGTAGGAAGGTTTTTTTTAAATTCAATTGAGATAGTTTGTTTTTCTCCATAGGCTCACATTTTTTCATTTCTCTCCACCAAACTGCAGCGTTTCCTTATTTGCTCCAAAAATACTGTTGTGCTTTATGTCATGGACGTAGATGTCTTACAGTTGTAGTTCAGCTTGTAAACTAGACAACTAACAACAGAACTACAACTCCCCAGAATCCCTTGCTTTTCCTATACAATATAAGTATTGTTTACGGTATTAACTCAGTAGAGCTATAGCAATTTTGATGAGCTTCATGGCTGTCTGAGTTACTTCCTGGTTTGGTGAAAGCACATTGGAGATCATGCATAGCCTATGGATTTGCAGCAAATGGAAAGACTTCAAACTTAAGTGTATTTTAATTTTTATAAAAATTTATAGTAAGGTGATATGTGTAGTACAGTTTGACAACTTACCACATGCACTTTATCTGGTCTTACTGCAGGAGAATCAGAATAGTTCTGTGGAGCTAAGCAGGACCATGCTTATTGTCAGGAGAAGGACGCGGTCACTGAAGGGACAAATAAAATTTTCATACTGTACTAAAATGGTTACCATGGGATGGTGTCAGGGTACACCTGGCATGTTATTTCCAGCACTCAATTTATGGTGTGAAAATAGAAAAAGAGAAGTCATAAAGTATATCAGCCTGTAGTGGTTGTGATAGTTGGAGTGTTCCTTTAAGGACATACTTACAAAACTCTAAAACCAATCTCCCACCAGTCACCTCCCACCAGAGACAGGCCTTTTTTACCTACATTTTGAAAAGTAGAGTGATTTATAGAATATCAATGTAAATGCATATATATGCCTCATTTGTTTAAAACTGCATCAGAAATGATTCCAATCTGTTAGAAAAAAAACTTTTCAAATTAATTATCTACAAACATTCCTGCACACTATAATTGTATAACTCCTATAGATAAATCATTTGAAAAGTTGTATTCTAACAGATTGGAATCTTTTCTGATGCTAATGTGAACAAATTCAATTGAGGTCGTATTGGATATATTTAAATACTTTGGTAGATGTGTATTTATTTCTCAATGAAAGCACATTTTGTTTAGCGTTCAGGGTAACTATTGAACTGGTGATTTTGTTGTTTTTTTCGCCTAATTCCAATTGTATTCTGTGCATCTTTTTGATTATTCAAATTGCACCAAGTTTTTAGAATAATATCTAATTTTCTCACTTATGCTTCATAATGACTAAATATGATAAATAAAATAAATTAAATCAAAATTAAATATGTTATTCTGCATGTACAATGCTTATAATATTTACAAATAACCCTTAGTAAGTTGTGTATATTGGCTTGTTCAAGCATATTGGTTTCTTGACTTGACTTCCTGATAAGCTAGATCATATTCCATTGTACAGCGCTGCGGAATTTGTTGGCGCTATATAAATAATAAAATAATAATATTAATAATAATATATATTTTCTAGGATCACTTCATCGAGCAACGGAAAGGCTAGGTTTCTTAAATAATTTATCTTTTATGCAAAATAATATAATTTTATTAAACAACAAGAAAACTATACATTGTGTTTTTATAATGACCAATAGTAATTAACAAGGTGGTAACATCAAAGAAGCCGGATTATAAAAGAGTAGAGAATACCTTGTCCGATCAAAGGATTACCACTCGAGGTCCAGCAGTCAGCCATCACAAACAACCATGAACAACAGCAAATAATACCATGTTATAATTTACAAACCCGGAAGGTCATCATTTTACAGCACATTTATTTTCTCTTTGTATATAATAATCTTCTCTAGAAATCGAATTGTTCAACAAAGAGAGAAACTGTCAGTACAGCATTCTCACATCGAAATCACTGTTGCTGACAAAGTGGATTTTAAACTACGTTGGTCATAAAGAAGGCGGATTTATAGGTAGTCATGGATGTTCTGTGAAATTAATGGAATGTCAGAATCTAAAGTAATGGCTCTGCTTTTCTTATAATAGAAGTCTAAAAACAAGCAAGCTGAAGGTCACAATATATATTACTTAAACTTACATTGAAGAAAAAAAACGTCTTCTTTTCAATAAGATTTAGAACATTGTGTATCAATATATTGTAAAATTGTATGTTGAGAAAGTTCATCTTAAACATAAACCTAATTTGCAAATTTCACAGTTGAGCAATCCTAAATCACCTCGGATTTAAAAAAAAAAAATTTAAAGTCTTTATTTTATTTTTTTTTAATGGAATTTATTTAATTTATTTTGCTCATCCCGGGGGATCAAAGTGGTTCTTAACAACATACAATAAATTCATACCATAAACCACCGTAGAAAGTGTTGCTTAAACTTTTTCTCTTTTCTCAAGGTCATACCTTAATAACTTTATCCACACACGTAAACTAATGCTACGTTTAGTAGAGAGAAGAATAAAGATGAATTAATCTGAACCTTCACAATCACCCGGTCTATAACTCTTGTTACAATTACAAGCTGAGTGCCTCGAGCAATATATCAACATAACGCTTGTCAGGGGTTTTTCTTATTCAAAATTAAATTATTTACAAAACAAAAAACAACAATCTCCAATTTTCAGGATTGGGAATGCTTGGAAAGTATTGAAGTAGCAATAAACTTAAAAATTTAAAAAACAAGGGATGAAAAATAAGAATTGAACCTAAAATGTTAAATCCAGCACTCAATTTATGGTATGAAAATAGAAAAAAAAAATAAGTCCTATAGTATGTCAGGATAAAAACAGTTTTTAAGACAATTCTACAACTGCTAATGATTTTTAAGGCAAGTTTCTACTCAAAAGAAATTGGTATGTAAAACACGGTTTTGAGAAAATAAAAACATAAACCAATGTACATAGTTTGAAGTTGCTGAAGTAATGAGGTTATACATTTATCATTCTGCAAAACAGGGAATGCATCCAAGCAAAGAACAGATGGGTAATAAGGCCTTGCTAAATGCAATCTCAGAACCAAATTACTAGAAAGATATCCTTGTGAGACTCTCTTGGCACTAAGCAAGATCAGCACCAACGAGATAGCTAAACAACCCTCTGCCAGAAATTGCCATTTTAGGTTTACAATGCACTATTGGGCATTGCTAATAGGTCATCCATCCCCTTTGAAAAAAAAAAAAAAAGTTTAAACTTCTCTGTAATTCAACGCCGGGCTAAGCTCCTGGTCTCCTGCCTCCATCGCATGGTCCTATCACTGACATCTCATAGAGAAGCCCATGATTGCATCATTTAACCATCTCCGAGCCTACATGTGCACGTTCTGAGCTGACAAAAGGGAGGGAGTTGGGGAGGGTGATGATTTTAATTTAAAAACAAAAACAGCAAAATAAAGTGAAGGAAAGTGGGAGGGATCGCACAGTGGGGGGAAGGAAACGAGGGGAAAGATTGTTACGTCTGCTGCTAGTGTGCAATATGCACAGAATTCACATTAGGCAGCCCAAAGTCAACCCGGGCACACAAGTGCAAATAATTCTCAATGTGCAATGTTTTAGGCACAGCACATGTAGGCTTCTACCACCATGATCACTTCTAATCCCTGAAGTGGGAGGAGGAACCCTTTAACACCTGGTGGAAAAAATTACACATACACTTATTGTAAAGTGCTGCGGATTAAGCTCGCGCTATATAAATACCAATAATAATAATAATTTATAGTGCATGGGCAAATGCCATTGGGCACAAAACCTGTTAGGAGTCTAGAGGTGCGTGTTCTACTCTGATGACGTTCATTGCTTGGTGCCAATAAAGTCCCACGGGTGAATTTTTTTGATATTTTTTAGTTTACTTGTTATCCATGTCCCCGACCTCGGCTAGTCTCCCTGACACTGTACACCGTTAATCTGGCCACTCTAAGGACCGATACACGCAACGTTTCATTAGCTGTGTTTTTGGTCTGTACATTTAGGTTTCTACCCTATCCTGACACCATTCATACTCCATATGCCAGAATGAGAGACTCCTGATTTTCTAAGCTACTTTCTCAAGTCAAAGCTGAAGATGGTTTATTTTTCTTAAAGGCTAGTGTACCCAAAGTGTTCTCAGCCAATCAGTGTTGTCCAGGTTGGATGGAATTAATGTTGATAATATGTGTAAACTAGGCTTTATCAAAGTGGCTAGAAAAGAGATAAGCTACAGGTGTCAAGTAGAGCCTACGTTTATACAAACCCCTTCCAAACAGTTTCACAAAAAAAATGTGGGAAGGCAGACATAGACCCTTTACACCATACACCATAACCACTACAGTGCCCTTTTCACAAAGGCTGCAATTTAAACAAAATATTCTTAAATATTGATACACTAAGTAGGATTTATATAAGTGTTACTAATAGAAATTCTGGATGAGTTTATTCACTGAAATTTCATTTTCTTTTCTGAAATAAAAACTTAATTGTAAACTGCAAAAAAATAAACTGCAAAAAAAATGTCCCAAATCAGCTACGTTTTGTCTTAGTTTTGAAATTCGTTTTCAGTTTACTACAGTTTAATGCTTAGTAAGAAAACAAACCTCTAGAACAGGGGTGTCAAACATGCGGCCCCCCAGATGTTGCTGAACTACAACTCCCTGGCTGGCTGTTTCATTGAAAGAATCATGGGAGTTGTAGTTCAGCAACATCTGGGGGGCCGCATGTTTGACACCCCTGCTCTAGAATGCAGTGCCTGTGTGCTCAGTGAGAATTAAGGCATCTTAAATGCACCTTTTGACCAACAGGTCACTGATAATATTTCCTGCCCTTGAAAAACAAAAAATATAACTTAACTTAGCTAATATTGTACACCCCAAAACTTGTTTTAAAAAATATAAAATTATATATTGCAATTCATTTTAAGCTTTTTCTCAATACCCTGAATATACAAACTTGCTGTTTTAAGCTACATTAATGTCATAGTTAGCCATCTCATGACTCAACTACAATGTATTTATATTAAACAAGAAGGACTTGGTAATTAAAGAGACACTATAGTCACCAAAACAACTTAATGAAGCGGTTTTGGTGTATATTGGTGTTTATACAGCTCTAGTCACACCTCCCTGCATATAACGGCACAGCCTCCCTAAGCACTTCCTGTAAAGAGAGATCTAATGTTTACACTTTCTTTATTGCACAGTCTGTTTAATTTCAAATGTATTTTCTCCCACACTGTTAATAACTTGCTAGACCTTGCAGGAGCCCCCTGTGTATGATATTAGTTAATTTTACCGAGCAGGAAACAAAAACATCTAAAGTATGTTAAGTTAACATCTGATTGAAAATTAAACCTTTTTTTCATGCGGGCTGTGTGAGTCACAGAAAGAGGAGGTGGGACTAGGGCAACATAAACAAACACAAAAGTGATTTAACTCCTAAATGGCAGAGAACTGAGCAGTGAGACTTCAACAGCATGATTTATACACCAAAACTGCTTCATTAAAGCGGCACTGTCATGCCGAATCCCGTTTTTTTTTAACCCCCCTCCCGCCTCCACTACATCCAATTGACCCACTAGTCACCCCCAAATGCCCCTAAGCCCCCCAGATTACCTCTTTTTAAATCCTTATTTTCTGCCCCGGGGATCTATATTCAGGGCGCCGCCATCTTTGTGTGGGTAGGTGAAGTCCCTGTGGGACACGTCATCAGCCCACACTAGACAGACTGTGAGATTCCCGCACATGCCCAGTGAAACACCTGGACATGCGAACGGGAATTTCATTTATTCATTCATTCATCAGACAGACGAATGAATGAATAGAAATGTCAGACGAACAAACTAACACTGTGTATCAGTGTTAGTTTGTTTGTTCAGTTTATTACAAGGAGGGAGCTACCGGCGTGCAGCTCCATCCTTGTAATATGTAAAGATAGAAGCGGCAGGGAGCAGTGCTCCCCGTCACTTCATAAGCCCCCCTAGGTCCCCCTCTCACTCTATGGGGGTCAATATGACCCCCATAATAGCACAAGGGAGATTAAAATCTCCCAAATGCCCCTACTTGCGGTATAGCATGTCTACTAAACCCCCTCCCCCACCCTGCGTGGTGGGTGGGGGACCTTATAAAACAATAAGGGGGGGATCTACTGTCCTCCCCCCTGGCCCCCACCCCTGCGCGGTGGGTGGGGGCCCTTATAAAACAATAAGGGGGGGAACCTACTGCTCACTGCTTACTACACATGCCCCTACTCGCGATATAGCGAGTAGGGGCATATTATTTACTAATACTAAGTAATCTTTAATTATTACTTATTAGTAAATTTGGCTGAAAGACCAATTTAGGTCTTTCAGCCTTTTAGTAGATAACCCCCTGATACCGTGGGAATTAGGGAGTTATCTACTAAGCGGCTGCAAGATGCAGCCGCGGCAATGAATAGGATCGGAGTTTCATTCATTAGAATGAAATTCCGACACAAACAAAGTGCCGAATTGCGTTCTAAAAGAAACGAACATACTGTTGTCATTCAGTTAGAACGCAATTCGGCAGTTTAGTGTAAAGTGACAGGAAGCATCGCGGGAACACAGAGGAAAGCTAGGGATCATGGGAAAATTGCTCTGACCAGCGGAAATGAAGCACACTTTGCTCCTCCGCTGGTCAGAGCTGGTCAAGCGGAGGAATCCTCCATAAGGCAAAGAGTCCTTACTTTGTCTTATGATTTTAAAGAAAACTAAAGAAGACAGGAAGAAAAGAATAACAGATCCCGAGAGAGGGGGAGAAGAGGAAGAGATTGAGGAAAGGTAAGTTCGGCATGACAGTGCCGCTTTAAGCTTTGAGTTGTTTTCGTGACTATAGTGTTCTTTTAGGAAAAAAAAAGATTAATCTGTTTTTTTCTCAGTACTAATGTGCCTCTTTGGCCGGTTTTAACTTTACAAGGTATGACTGGATTCAACTCAAGGCAATACTTCATACATTTAATCTTGCACCAGCATTCTTTGTAGATGATTCATTTAACCTCTTGTAATCTAAGAATATTTATACAGTAGCTGAAGATAAGCATGATGACATCTTCAAAAGAAGATATTTTTTAAAGTACTTGAATATCTGCAAAAATCATTGGGAAAAAAAGTCTATACATTTGGTTTTTAATTTTATAAAACTAGTGTTAAACAGAAGTATTTATCCAATATTATGTAGTTTGGGATATGTTCATTTAAAAGAATCTTGTTTTGATGAAAGAACCAGCTTGCAAACCACAGGCCAATAAAGCAAAGCTGGAAAAAAGTACAATTCTCCTTAAACTCAGATTTCCTCTAAGTTTTTCTAATTAAGTTTGGAGACGTTGGCAAAGGGTGCATCAACTGTGCCCAGGTACACCCAAATGTCCCACCTTTAGACCCTTACCTGCACTTTCAAACATATTGTTTTATTATTATTATTTCTAAAACACATATTCTGTGGTGCTATACAGTAACACACCGCAGTCTTGGATTTAGCAGATTGTTGCCAAATTCAGAGGCCTGTCCTGCCGTCTTGGGTTTGCTCCTTAGCTTCTCACATTACGGAATACTAGACCAAGTCCCAATAAGGCTGTGCACAAATTCATCTTTAGACCTTCAAATTGTGCAAATGTCACAGAGGACATTCGGTCCATGGGCTTACCTTTTGTGTCATTTTACCCCACTCCCTCTAGAATGTAAGCTCATTGAGCAGGGCCCTCAACCCCTCTGTTCCTGTGTGTCCAACTTGTCTGGTTACAACTACATGTTTGATCGTCCACCCATTATAAAGCGCTGCGGAATTTGACGGCGCTCTATAAATATCATAATAATAATAATAATAATGGGCTGGGCACTAGCATTCTGTCCTCATTAGGGTTTGAATAAGAGACTGACAGTAATCCTGGCTTGCATTCATGCCAGACTAACATACCTTTTTTACGTAGAGGTTGGCTCCGTTTGGGCATTAGAAGTGATGCTGGTATCATTCACACTCCCATTTAGTCCCCTCATCTTGGCTCTATACCTCACAATGTTATTAATTATGTAATTATAGAATGGGAATATAAAAAAGTAAACGATTCACACACAAAATAATGTTGACAGATGCATGGGCGGGAACAAGCTCAAACAAGCATAGAATCTAGAGATATTTATACAAATGGAGATAAATGGTATGGCAAAAAAAGTTAGTATTTTGCCCATCATTTTTTACATTAGAAACAACAATAGCTGGTAGATATTTGTGGCTTTCAAAACAAACAGGTTTTCATGGTTGATTTTTGCACGTAATGTCTGCACGCTCATTGTGTCTACCTTGGTTACCGACCACCACTTTTTCATTTTGTACATTTCACTGCCATGGCAACTTCACCTGGACTTTATAAATGGTTCTCTCAACGAAAGTGCATTCAGCTACAATCATTGCCCTTGGTGTGTGTATACACCTGACTTGCCAAATTTCAAATTTTTGGACTATAACCTTACCTACTAATCTCTTCAGAAGATGTTAACAGCGGCAGCAGCCACTGATTACCCATATTTAAATGTTGTTTTGTAGGATGGAAACCGCTGCTTATCACTAAATGATAGTAACAGCCATTTTAGTGATTACTGACTTATTTCTAAACGACTGTGACATTCATGACCAAACTTGTTAAAGGGACACTAAAGGCACTCAGACCGCTTCAGCTCATTGAAGTGGTCTGGGTGCAATGTCCCGGTCTTTATAGTCCTGCAATGTTATACATTGTAGTTTTTGAGAACCCACAATGTTTACATTGCAGTATTAAGACAGACTCTAGTGGTTGTCTGTCAGACAGGTCCTGGAGGTGCTTCCAGGAGGTTACCAGATTCTGGGTTGCCTAAATGACACTGGACGTCCTCACGCTCTGCATGAGTACATCCAGCATTAGTGAAATCCCCATATGAGGAGGGCCTAATGCGCTTGCAACACTCACCACACATGTGGCAGTCAGATGATGTCGGAGGATGTGGAGCGCCAACCCAGCTCCGAGGGACATCGGCCTGAAATCAAGTAAGCTTTAAATCAATTTTTTCAACCCTTTCTGTTCCATGGGACAGAGGGAGAGGCGCGTGAGAGGGGGACCAGAGGGCTTTATAATGTCAATAATACAGATTTGTATTCATAACCATAGGCGTGCGCACGGGGTGTGCCGGGTGTGCCTGGGCACACCCTAATCCCCGTGGCACGCCTATGGTTTGAGTCCTGCAGGAACAGCGTTCCTGCACTTTTTTTGAGCAGGAACGCTGTTCCTGCAGGCACTCAGTGCCCCCTGTTTCACCTCTTGCCCCTGTCATGGGGAGGGCAAGAGGTGATGGATTCCCACGCCCCACTCAGCGCGCGGCGAGGGAGCTCTCTGCTGTCTGCTCTCTGCTCCCTCTCGCCGCGCGCTGATGCCGGGAGCCGGAATATGACGTCATATTCCGGCTCCCAGCTCCAGCAGACAGCCCGCGCGGCGAGAGGGGCAGACAGCAGACAGCAGAGAGCAGAGAGCTCCCTCGCCGCGGCTGAACTGGAGAAAGGCGCCCGCCCCCACTGGACCCCAGGGAAAAGTCCACCAGCACTCCAGGTAGGAGGCTGGGTGGACATTGTTTTTTAAAATTAAAATATAATAATTTGTGTGTGTGTGTGAGTATGTGTGTGTGTGTGTGTGTGAGTATGTGTGTGTCTGTGAGTATGTGTGTGTGTCAGTG